GAAAAACAGAGAGAGTAAGGGAAGAGGTGACATTGTCTAAAAAAATGTACTCTTTACCTGACTTATGTAACTGCAACCCTTCTGTGCATCACCTTTATAATAATTTAAAAGAAAATTATAGTAGGTTGAATAGTAGCTCTGAAAATGACACACACAAGTCCTAACCTGTGGAACCTGCAAATATGAGCTTATTTTTAAAAAGAGTACTTATGGATATAATTAAGGACTTCAAGTAGAGATGATTCTAGTTTGTGACAGAGGTCCTTATAATAGAAAGTCAGCAGGAGACTGGAGACTCTAGTCAGTAACTAGAAGCCAGGCTGTGTATGTATAGCCTGATTATGTTATGTTATGGAGTTATACAGCAATAGACCAGGCCACCAAAGACTGTTAGCAGCCACCAGAAACCAGGAGAGAGGCAGGGACCAGGATTTTTTTTCTCTCAGAGCCTCAGAAAGAACCAATCCTGCTAATATCTTGATTTCAAACGTCTCTTCTTCTAAACTGTGAGGAAATTTCTTTCTCTTGTTTTAAGCCACCTAATTTGTGGTAATTTGCCATGATAACCCGAGGAAATTAATGTGGTAATAGCTATAATAACTAATAATCACGCCTTGGGCCAGGCATAATGTTGTATCTTCTATGCATTACTTTGTTTCTTCCCCAACAGCCAAGTGAAGTAGACCACGCATGAAAAAGAATATCAACAAAATAAGTTATTGCGGGGTTGCTCTGTCATTGGCATTTAAACATTGAACCCTCAGCATGAGCAACATGCCTTATTATTTTCCTCTCTTACAGGAGCCTGAAGGCTACCAACTTGCGTCATTTTGCCCAGGGTCATATAGTGAATAGTAGTGGAGTCAGGATTCCAACCCTGGTAACTTTAACTGCTTCACATCTCTGGCTCCAAGGCAGATGGGTGAACGGACCAAGGGGTGGGCTTGTATAGTTGAAGGGAGAGAAGGTGGCCAAGAGACTAGTGGTTTATGGAAGAAGATCCTCCAATATGGAGTAGATGGTGTAGGCTGAGTGTAGGATGGGCTAAGAGAGGGAGGAAGAATATAGACCCCTTGCTGACCTCATTGAGTACATGAGAGCTAAAGACAGCTGTGGTCACCTAGGGATCACTAGAGTCTAAGGTTCTGGAACTAGAGCAATTCTGAGTAATCAGGTCAAATTGTGACCATGGGAAGGGGATGAGTGTTGTCAACAGACTGTGCTAGGCAAGGGACCGGGAGGCCAATGGTCATCCCAAAGGAAGGCATAAACTGCTTTGGGGAGTTTAGAGTTGAGCAATGAGTTCTTGTCCTTATCAGGAAAAACAAAAACAAAACAAAAGGAACACAAATCGAGTCTCAAAAAAACAGATGAGAGATGTGAGGTAGGAAGGCATTCCAGTTGAAGGATACAGGAAGATCAAAGGCAGGAAGGGCAATAGCACTGTGTATATATGGTTTCAGGCTGACTATACTAAAGGTATGTGAGAGCATGTGTACCGATTTGGGTACTTTGCAGATGCTGATTTAGGCTTCATTTGAGAGGCTGTTCTCAGAAAGCTCAGTGAAAGAGGCACCCCTGAGAGAACTGGAGCTTGGACTACATAGAGCACATTTCAAAACTGTCCCACAGAAGGGAAAGGAAATTGGGGTACTTGCTCACCAACTCTTGTGAGTCCAATAGTGGTTGAAGATTGCTCATATGGGCATTAAACTCTCTGGCTAGTCATCCCTTCCTAAGTGGATAAGCAAATTCCTTGTGCAAAGAAATGTATACCCTAGCTGGATGCTGGTGGCTCCTGCCTATAATCTTAGCTACTCAGGAGGCTGAGATCTGGCTGAAGCCAGCCCAGGCAGGAAAGTTGGTGAGACCTTTAGCTCTAATTAACCACCAGAAAACCAGAAGTGGAGGTGTGGCTGAAAGTAGTAGAGAGCTAGCCTTGAACAGAAAAGTTCAGGGACAGTGTCTAGGCCCTGAGTTCATGCCCCATGACCAAAAAAAAAAAAAAAAAAAGTGGGAAAACAGGCACCCCCCCACCATGGCCTAATTCCCCCCCAAACCTGTTGATACTTAGAAAGCGGTAAGGGATTATGGATGGCATACTTGTCAGAAAAGGGAAATCGGAGTAGGATTCACAAGAATGAATCAGCCCTTACCAGAGATTTATTGTCAGCAATGGAAAGCTGAAGGTACCACAGAGGAGACCTAGGGCCTATGGGGTGAAGGATGTGCAGCAGGCAGGGAGTGGGACGAGGGATGATTGAATGGCTTGGGGAAAGTCTGTTGCAGTGTGTGTGGACGGGATTTGGCAATTGATTGGATGTGTGGGAGGGAGGTGCTCTGGGGAAAGAGGATGGTGCATACCTGACAGACGTGACTAACAGCTCCAGGATACAGCTTATTACGGACACTCCAAACCAGTAAAGCTAGTGAGAAATGCTACATACTGGACAGACCAGAAACTCTTAGCACTATCAGCTGACTTTTTCTCTACCTGTAACCCCCTTAAAAATGATAAAGTCCATTTCCAAGCACCTACTAAGTGCCATATGCTCTACTTACATTATTGTTGTGCTTTCATAACCATATTGGCTATTGGATACTGTTACCACTCTCACTTTGTTGACTGTGTGTGTGGGGGGGTGTTAAGGACAGAACTCAGGATCTTGCATTTATTTGCCAGATAAGCACTCTTTCATTGAGCTATCCTCACTTTGTAAGTGGGGAAATAAAAACTCAGAGAATAAACTATGGGCTAAATGTCACCTGGCTGGTAAGTGGAGCTCATTTTGACAAAGCCCTTTCTCTGCTTGAACTGGTTACATGGCCTCAGGAAAAATAGTAAACTATCAGTAACAGATCTGGGTAAATGCCTAGTACTATAACTTTCTAAATCATGTTTGCTTATGACTATGCAGAGTCCTTGAGGGTCAGAGACAGACAGCATCTTCATTTCACATTTGGCTCATGCCTGTAATCCTAGCTACTCAGGAGGCTGAGATCTGAGGATTGTGGTTCAAAGCCAGCCTGGGCAGACTAATCTGAAAAAAAAAATTATCTCTAACTAATCATCAAAAAGCCAGAAGTAAAGGGGTGGCTCAAGTGGTAGAGTTTCAGCCTTGAGTAAAAAAAGCAGGGGAAGAGCATAAAAGCCCTGAGTTCAAGCTCCAGTACTGGCACAGCACAGCCATACAAACAACCCTCCCCCTACCAAAAAATCAATGTCCCATATCTAGTCCCTCCTATCTCTTAACCTTAAATTGTGTTCCTGGACCTTACCTGTGCAGAGTGCATATGTCAGCAGAGAGATCAGACAGGAGGGGAGGACTGATTGAATCTGGCCTGGGACAGTTGATTGGGAGAAGGTAGCAGGACGGTAGAAGCGCCATGAGACTGCAGAAGGACATCGCATCAAGGGTACTGCAGGAGCTTCCACCCTGAGTTCAAGCTCCAGTACTGGCACAACAAAGCCACACAAACAAAATCCCCCAAAACAATGTCCCATAGCTGTTGAACCTGATGACTTTTCTGCTGGTTCCTATGGGAACTCATCCCTTCATAAACTGGGAGCTGCTTTTAGTTTTTTAAATTACTCATTATAACCATGGTTTAATTAATTGTAGGAGGAAGAAGCTTAATTAAGGCCAGTATGAACTTAGATTCCACAGCTGAGTGGTTCCATTTCGCTAAATCCAGGTACAATCACATGCCAATTTGTCACCTGCCAGGTACAACAGTAGTCTCAAAAATGACATAATAGGGCTGGGAAGGTGGCTCAGTGGTAGAGCACTTGCCTTGCATGCTCGAGGCCCTGAGTTCGATTCCTCAGCACCACATAAGAAAAAAGCCGGAAGTGGCGTTGTGGCTCAAGTGGTAGAGTGCTAGCCTTGAGCTGAAGAGCTGAGGGACAGCTCCCAGGCCCAGAGTTCAGGCCCCATGACCGGACCCAAAACCAACAACAAAAAAAAAACCAAAAAAAAACCCAAAAAATGACATAATAGGGGCTGGGAAGGTGGCTCAGTGGTAGAGTACTTGCTTTGCATGCATGAGGCCCTGGGTTCGATTCCTCAGCACCACATAAGCAAAAAAGGAACAAACCGGAAGTAGCGCTGTGGCTCAAGTGGTAGAGTACTAGCTTTGAGCTGAAGAGCTGAGGAACAGCACCCAGGCCCAGAGTTCAGGCCTCATGACCAGACCAAAAAAAAAAAAATGACATAATAGTCAAACCTGTGATAAATTAAATCCCCCTCTAGATCATCACATCCTCAAAAGTCAAACATGAAGTAAAAAAGATGTGTGTAAAGGCATTTCAAAGAACTAGCTTATTTTAAAAACGCAACACAACCCAAGCTTTGTTTCCCTATTCTTTTATCTAAAGGTTTCTTGGTCTTTACCTGCAGAGCCAGGTGCTGGTGGTTTACACCTATAATACTAGCTATTTAGGAGGTCAAGACCTAAGGACTGAGAAAACAACCCCAGACAGACAAATCTGAAAGACTCTTATTTCCAATTAACCAGAAAGAAGCTGAAAGCGGAGGTGGAGCTGAGCTTATAGAGCGCCAGGTGCCCTGAATTCAAGCCCCAGTACTAACTCCCCATGGAGATTAAGCTGGTGGTTATGATATACAATATACAGAATTACTTGATGAATTAAATATATTTTAAAATAAAGGCCAGCACTGATGGCTTATGCCTGTAATACTAGTTACTTAGGAGACTTTAGATCTGGCAATCAAGGTGGTTCAAAATCAGCCTGGTCAGGAAAGTCCATGATACTCATCTCCAATTAATCAACCAAAAGCCAGAAGTGAGAGTGTGGCTCAAGTGGTAGAGTACCAGCAGTGAGTAAAAAAGCTAAAGGACAATATCAAGGCCCTGAGTTTAAGCCCCAGTACCAGTACATGTGTACACACACACACACATACAAACACACACATTTAAAAATTACCATACAAAAGTAAAAATTAATACTGTTATCATCATCTTTTGAGTCTCTATGGTCAATCTTCAGTCAAGTTAATGACAAAGTTTTTTTCTGTAATGTAGTTCAAAAAGACTTGTTCTGCAGCCACATTGTGATTTGTGTTCTTCTTCATTGAAGACATAGTGGCATTCCCATAGTAGTGCAAAGGGCTCATGAGGTCAGAAAAGTTGTATTTAAAACCAGCTATGTGAACTTCATGACAGATGTGAAATGCCAATACAATGGCAATTATTCCCATTGTTGGGTGTTTTTGTTTCTTAAATTTGGGAAGATTTTTTCGAAAATGAAGCAGTTCATAAGCTGTTGTCCTGATAAGGAAAGGATCTAATATTCTGATTTGATGTGGTTTATAGATCAACTTTAAGGCTGGTTTCTTCCAAAAATTCTTGAGGAATATACGACCATTGACCAGCAATTTCAGCATCCAGTCCAAATCATTTTTCTTAAAAGCAACAAAAATGGCTATTGTGTTAGGATCATTATGACTGCTATCTGTAAAAACAGATTCTGGATAAAAAAGTCGGAAGGTTGTGCGTGTCCCAACTTCCTCTTCATGTCCTAAAACAGGACCATTATTCATTCTTATGACAACATCATACGAGTCGATAGTTTCTCTTAACTTCTTATTCTTCAAAACTCCTCCATTACCCACCACCACACACTTTTTACAAGTCACGTTGTTCGACTCATCAAAGATCTCACAATTCTTAAGTTTGGCAAGAAGGTATCCAAAATAGGCCTTTGCTGTTCTTACCCCATAGGGCAAATCAAACTGATCCTCTTCAAAGGCGGAAACAGTGTGTTTAAAATCGTCTTTACAGAGAAAGGGATATACCTGTGGAAACGTCAGGAGGGATGCAAACGCTGGCTTTGATGAACAAGTCTGGAAAGATTGTCTGTGCTTGATTTCCTTGAGGGACACCCAATAATAGTGGGTACCCCAGATTATACAGAAGAGGATAAAATGGTAATAGAGGAAGATAATGCTCAGGAATAGGGCCACCTGGAGCCGCATCATAGCTGGCCGGGCATCCCTTTCCCCCAGAGCCTCTCTGTTCTTAAGCGTGGTAGCAGCTCCAGGGCAGGATGGCTCAGGAGAGAGGCTAGCTGCTATTTGGTTGAATCCCCTGACGAGAGATGCAGGACCAAGCGGTTGTGAGGCGGCTTCGGTGGCAGTTTGCCCCCCAGGCCCAGCGGCCAGAGTGGAGCCTGGCTCCAAAGCCTCCCGCAGAGGGTCCCGCAGCTCTCCTGCCTCCCTCGGCCCTGGCTCCGGTCCACTGCTTTCTCTCTCGCAGTAGCGCGGGAGGCATGGGGTCTCCAGGCCGGTCTCCCCCCTCGCTGGGCCTGGCGGAGAAGCCGAAGCGCGGGGTGGGGGTGGGGGTGGGGGCCGGCCCACCAACCGCAGGGAACGACGAGGTGTTCAGGTGAGCTTGAGGACTAGGATGTTACTTGATTTACCTGCATAGCTCTAGTCCGCAGCCAAGAAGACGCCCACGGGGAATCCTGGTGATGGGTGTGATGAAGACAATGTCCGATTATTGGGTGTTTCCTCTGTGTCAGACGTGATGGGGAGCCCTCTTCGTGTATGACCTTGTCTCAGCATAGGTGGGTAGAAACGAGTTGCAGGTGACAAAATTAAATTCAAATGGAAAGAAAAGGAGAAGGAGGGGGGGAGGAGGAAGAAGAGGAGGAGGAGGAAGCAGAAAGAGGAAAAAGGAGAAGAAGGAGAAGAGGAGGAAGGGGGGGAGGAGGAGGGGGAGGAGGAGGGGGGGAGGAGGAGGAGGGGGGGAGGAGGAGGGGGAGGAGGGGGAGGGGGAGGAGGAGGGGGAGGGGGAGGAGGGGGAGGGGGGGAGGGGGAGGAGGAGGGGGAGGGGGAGGAGGGGGAGGGGGAGGAGGAGGGGGAGGGGGAGGAGGGGGAGGGGGAGGAGGGAGAGGGGGAGGAGGGGGAGGAGGAGGGGGAGGTGGAGGAGGAGGGGGGGAGGAGGAGGGGGAGGGGGAGGGGGAGGAGGGGGGGGAGGAGGGGGGGAGGAGGGGGAGGGGGAGGAGGAGGACGACGACGACGACGACGACGACGACGACGACGACGACGATGACGACGACGACACCGGGTACCTCATGCCTGGAACCCTAGCTACTCAGGAGGCTGATATCTGAGGATCACTGTTAGAAGCCAACCAGGGCAGGGAAGTCTGTGAGATTATTTTGTTTGCTTTTGGTCTAGCATGGGGCTTGAACTCTGGGCCTGGGTGCTATTGAGCTCAAGGCGAGCACTCTACCACTTGAGCCACAGTGCCACTTCTAGTTTTCTGGTGGTTAACTGGAGATAATAATCTCATGGACTTTTTCCTACCCAGACTGGCTTTGAACCTTGATCCTCAAATCTCAGCCTCCTGAGTAGCTAGTCACCCAGCTGTGAGATTCTTATCTCCAATTAACTACAAAAAGCAGACAGTGGAGCTGTGGCTCAAGTGATCGAGTGCTATCCTTTTAAGCACAAAAGCTCAGGGATAGCACCCAGGCCCTGAGTTCAAACCCCAGGAACAGAAAAAAAATTAAAAGCTTGGAGGCCTAGCTCAAGTGGTAGAAGACCAGCACTGAGTGAACAAGCCCAGCCACAGCGTAAAACCCTGAGTTTAAGCCCAGTACTGACATTAAAAAAAAAGATAAAAATAAATCCAGCCACATTGCTGTAATCCTAGCTATTCAGGAGGCTAAGATCTGTGAGGATCATGGTTTGAAGCCAGCTTGGGCAGAAAAGTCCATCAGACTCTTATTTTCAATTAACCAGCAAAATTCTGAAAGTGGAACTGTGGCTTAAGTGGTAGACCACCAAAAGCTATGGGACAACACCTAGGCTTTAAGTTCAAGCCCCAGGACTGGCACCAATAATAAACAAATATTTTAAAAAGATGTATAGTACCCAACTGAAAACTCCACAAGCCATTCCAGCTCCGAGCTCATCTGGTTCAAACATTGTTTCTCTCCCTCTTTTGGCTCAGTATCCTTTCTATGGACATTGCATTTGGGAAGATGCTTCTTGTGTTACCATCTCAGCCGAAAAGAGTATCCCTTCCCAGTATATATCTATCAAGAGGTCTGTGGCTACCTCCCATGCAGCTTGACAGGTGTCTCTCTTGACCAGTCAAAATATTCGGACCCTTTCACTGGCTACAGATAGGTTAAATAAGTCAGACACTTGGCAGAAAGAAACAAGATTTTAGATAATATGATTTCTATAAAACAGAGATAAAGGGGCTGGGAAGGTGACTTAGTGGTAGAGTGCTTGCCTTGCATGCATGAGGCCCTGGGTTCAATTCCTCAGCACCACATAAGCAGAAAAACCTGGAAGTGGGGCTGGAGCTCAAGTGGTAGAACGCTAGCCTTGAGCTGAAGAGCTGAGGGACAACGCCTAGGCCCAGAGTTCAGACCTCATGACTGGCAAAAATAACAACAACAACAACAAACAAGGCATATATAAAAACCATCTTTTATAATAAGTACCCCATTTTTCCAGATAAGGAAACTGAGAGCCAGTAATTAGAAGTGCTGAGTGTTTTTGTTTTTGTTTTGTCTGTTGTGGGGTTTGCACTCAGGGCCTGAGAGCTGTCCCTGAGCAATTCTGCTCAAGGCTAGCACTCTATCACTTTGAGCCACAGCACCAATTTCAGTTTTCTGATGGTTAGCTGGAGATAAGAGTCTCACAAACTTTCCTGCCTGGGCTGGTTTTAAACCCTGATCCTCAGATCTCAGCCTCCTGAGCTGCTAATATTACAGGCCTGAGCCACCAGCACCTGGCTTTACTGAAGGTTACATACCTAGTTGGTAGGACAGCAGGATTTAAATTCAGATATCTTTCTCAGGAGGCTTTGTTTTTCTAGGGCAGCAGACAGGATTTTTTCCATTATGGGTCCTCTAATCCAGTGCTACTCAAAATGTGGTCCCTGGGTTATACTGCTCTGTAAGGGCTTTGTTCTTTGCCCATAATGAATTCAATACCAAAATCATAGCAATTTTTAGAAACATACTGTAGTCATTTAGCATTGCCATGATATCCCAATGATATGATAGAAAAAGTTGGGTCTGAGATAAGTTGTAAATAATTTGGGGCACATTTTTCTGACAATTACTAGGGGGAAAGCATGAAGACTGCTGGGCTTGCAAAGGAAACTGAGGTATCTTGAGTGTATCATCTACACAGAGGCCCAGGAGGGCAGAGTATCTATCCCACTAGTCAGAGTGGTTTTTGTCCCTTGGCCAACCAAGAGAAGCCTTCCTTGGAGCCCCACCCTCAGTAGAGGCTGTTCTAGCTAACATGCCTCTCCTACCTACCAGAGAGGCAGGTAGGAAGGCTCAAGCCTGTGCAGCTCCAATGCCTTAGGGTTCTTGGTTGTAGTCCAGCTGGATACTGGCTGATTCTGCCCAGAGCCTGTGGGCACCTAGCACTCTCCTTCACCAGTGCCTTCCCCCATGTTTCCAGATCATGCCCTGGAGAGACAATGATGGCTGACAAGCTGATCTTGAAAAAGCCTAAGCACCAGACAGTTTGAGCTGAGGTAAAAGATCAGCTCCAGGAACAGGCTGTCAACTCCTTGAGCCTCCTCAAATTGGCCCTAGGGACGTGGCATGGCTCCTGCCCCAGCTTCTACTTCAGTTGGATACTCCCCGATGCCAGGCTCATGGGATAACAGAACAGTTCCAGGCACCAGGATTTCTCCAGCCAAGATGACTTAGGATGGCAAGTGTGAACCAAAAATAAGCCCAGAAAACTAGTCCTTTGGGGAGGTTTATGATTCCACATTATCCTGGATATGCGTTTCCTGTCCTGTTCTACTGTGCCTGGCACCATGCAAAAAGTTCAAGCTCCCGTGCCAGCTGGGCACTGGTGGCTCACATCTATAATCCTAGTTACTTAGGAAGCTGGGGTCTGAGGATCACCATTTAAAGCCAGAATGGGCAAGAAAAGGCCGTGAGACTCATCTCTAATGAAAAATACCAAGAAAAAAGCCAACGTGGAGCTGTGGCTCAAATGTTGGATCTCTAGCCTCAAACACAAAAGTTCAGGGATAGGACCCCAGACCCTAAGTTCAAGCTCTAGGTCTGGCACACAGCACACACACACATACACACACACACACACACACACACACACACACACACACACACACACACACACACACACACACACACAAGCTCTGATGTCCTAGGTGAGCTACCCAGCTCTGTTGAGTGACTTTGGATTGTTTATATGACCCTCTGTCCAGATTATGGCATTTGGGAAAGTACAGACAGCACCTCACAGACTGAACTTAGGGCACTGGCACAGTGCTGTAAAACAGCTCATAGGCACAAGCCTAAAGAGCACTGGAGTGCATGGAAGATTGCTTCTGCCTCTTCCAGACAGCACTGGAAGCTGATAAGAATGCTGCTTTGGTTCTTTTCAGCTGTATGACCATATTTAGGTTTCTCAGCTTCTCTGAACGTAGATGATCCCATTTATAAAGAGCAAAATTTCTCTCCTTCCCTCTGGGCAAAACTGACAATGAGGAATAAACGCAACCAAATATACAGAAAAACATCACCTTCAGCGGACATTCATTATATACTCATTAAATTTACACATAGCTATGGCTAATACCAGAGGCTAGGTCCTCTAGGTACCTTGGAGATAGCATATGGTGAGAGAACTTGATTCCTTCCCT